TTCCATCGTCGCGCGTATCGCGAACGCATACCGAGCGATTTCGTCGTCGAGGACGAAAGAGGAGGCAGCGCGAATATGAGAAAACGCATAAATACACGAGTACGTGTACGAGAATGAGACAACTGATACGTTTGGTCGAGGGAAGAGGATAGAACGAGGAGAGGGGTAAACGAGTAGCAACGAGGGAGAGAGAGAGAGAAAAAAGAGTGAGAGAAGGGTGGGAGGGAAAGACGGAAAAAGAGAGAAGGGAGGGAGAAAAAGATGGAGGAAACCGTCCTCTCCGTCTCGTTTCCTCTTTCTCTTTCTTCTCACCCGGTCTCTCTCGTCTCGTTCCCCTCCCTCCCTGTTTCTCCCTGTTGTTTCTCAGCATTCAACCGGCGAGTAGGTCTACATGCACACAAGCGTACTCCTCGGTGGAAAGCGCCTCTATATCGGCTGACAGAGTGTGCGTGCGTGTACTTACGTGCGAGCATGCGAGCCGTACGTGCGGCAACACGCATACGAGAATCAGAGTAGCTAAACGCTATCCTCTATGGTAGTGAAGCATACTGGCCGCGTACCGTACACAATCCGATGCCGTATCGTTCGTGCTCGTGGACGATATATATACCCGTCGTGAAGGAAAACGCGAGCCAAAGGTGAGATCGAGGTTCGGCGTTCTTTCGACTGCGAAACTCTCCCTGTCTCTCTCTCTCTTTCTCTTCTACCTCTTCGATAGGCGAGACGCGGCTTGTCCAAGCAACCACGACGTCGCGTGCTCGGCCTGTACGCGATTTCGCGACGTACGATCCAGCTTCCCTGGCATTCGAGCAAGCACACGACTGGATTTTACTTTCACCTCTTACCGCCGACCGTGCCACCAGCCTTTGAAACCACGGCCTGCCGCTGGCCTCGCCGGGTTCCTGCAGAGAAAGAACGAACGAACGAACGAACGAACGGACGGACGGACGAATGAGCAAAAGACACGGGATGATTTCGCGGAGCACCGATCGGAGCACGACGACTACGACGACCACGACGACCACGACGACGAGGACAATACAACGACGACAACGACAACGAGTCAACGGCGGAATCGGGAATACGACGGCAGTCCGTACAAAGGCGCCGCGAAACACTGAGCGGCGTTCTATGGAACTAAACTACGGAAATGAACGACATCGGGCGTAAAGCGACCGTAGCGACACACAAGAAACACCCAAACGGTACGGCGACTCACGCCAAACTAAACTGAAACCCCGACCCCGAGTAGGATATGCCTTTTCCCCTCTGTCCATCCCGCTCACCCTCCATTCTCTCCCTCGCCCCTGCCTCGTCAATGCCGATCCCCGCGCGCCCCTTTCGCTCTCCGACTTCATCCCCTCCATGGTTCTTTCTCTCCTGTCCTCCAGGCTCTACCATGCTCCTCTCTCCTCTCCTTTCCCACTCCACTCTCCTCTACCCCTTTTCGTTCTCTCTCTCTCTCTCTCTCTCT